TGTGGCAGAGCCCTGGGCTGGCAGGGTTGGCATCAGTGGGAGTGAGGGATGGCCCAGCCCGGGCAGAGTGCTGGCAGGGCGCATCTGCTGGCAGTGCCATGTGTCACTGCTGCCCTTCGCTTTGCCTAACCTTGGGGCAACAGCAAACAAGGTGGGAGAGGGCAGGCCAAGTGCTGCCTGCCAGACACCTGGCAATGATTAAGCTGGAGGCAGCAGGAGAGCCGGGGGGTGGGCAGGGGAGGGCATGGGGTGCTGCCTCAGCCCTCCACGGGCAGCACCCCGTGCAGAGTCCCATGGGTGCTCCCTGGGTGCGTTTCATCTTCAAAGGGTGCTCAGGGGTGCGGATGGCCGTGCTGGGTGGTTGGCAGCTCTGTGCCACCCTCTGTTTGGGTGGTGATGCACAGCTCTGGCTCATCTCGGGCAGACCTTTGCACTCCCCGAGGGTGCCGCTCCCTGCCCCACTCTGCCAAAGGTCCCTGCAGCTCTCGGGGATGAGTCCAGGGAGCAGGAAAAGACATTTCCCACCCATGTGCGTCACTGCTGACTGCAGATACTTCTCCCCTGTGCCCAGATTCGGGTGTTTCGGCGGGGCACACGGAGCCCAGCTGGAGCTGAAGGCTGATTTCGGGCAGCGTGCACTCCGTGTCACCCGGCGTGTCTTGGTGGATGCACAACCCGTGTCACCCAAGGGTGACCCCCATCCCGAGCCCTGCCTGTGGGTGCAGGGTGGGTGAGCAGGGGTGCACAGCCCAGCGCTGGGGGCTTGCATGCAAAGGGCAGACGTGGCTGCGGGCAGCTGGGCACGACCCCTTGACGGGATGCAGCTCTGCTGGGATCTGGGAGGGGGACACAAGGCTGATGGGCAGGGACTGGACAGGGGCTGGCATGGGGTAGGAGGGTGGGCAGAATGGGGAGAGGGGTGTGTGTGTGCAAGGAAAGGCAGCCAAGTGGTGGTCACTGCTCCTGGGCAGTGCCACAGGTACCCCTAGTTGTGCACAGAGCCGAGCCCACCCTGCTCACCCATATAGTCTTTTTTGGGCAGGGCTTCCCATGGCCTGAAAGGACTGACCCATGCCAGCTCTGAACCTTGCCCTGTGGCAGCTGAGCCAGGCCACCCCCTCGCTTTGGGTGGGAGAG